GCCGCCTCCGGCTCCCCAGACGGCGACGGCGGTGGAGACGGGGAACTGCGGCCGCCGCTCTTCTTCTCGGAAGGCGGAGAGCGGTAGGTGATGGTGGCGGCCCCTTGCTTGAGCCCCAGCAGGACGGCCGCGTCCCCGCTCGCGCGGAGTGACACGCAGGGGAAAAGCCCCCGGCCTCCCTCGCCGTCGCCGCTGTCGTCTCCCTCCGACCGGCGGTCGATCTTGAACTGCCCGCCCACGTAGGCGTCGTTCTTCAAGAACGCCAGCGTTCCGGCGTCGGCGTCCAGCTCCACTCCGACAACGTCGCCGCTGTCGAACCCGCCCCCCGGGCACATCCGCTCCGTCGACTCTCCGCCGTGCGACAGGTTTCCGTCCGAGCGGTACAGCCACAGGTCCGCGCGGTCACCGGCGCCGCCGCCCCCGGCTCCTTGCAGCGGGACGCCGGCGGCGCTTATGGCGGCGACGTCGCGACGGCACACGCCCACGCTGGCCCGGTTGCCGCACGACACGATGTGCCACTCCCAGAGCCACTTGCCGGTCTGGTAGCCCTCGCCCGCGACGGAGGGTGCCTCGGCAACGACCAGTCTCCTGCTGCCGGGTTCCGCCGAACCGGCACCAGACACGCCGCCAGAGGATGAACCCGTAGCAGTAGCGGCAGCGGTACCATCTGTGCCCGCGGCTCTTTCCTCCGTCGCCGACGCCGTCATCGCTGTCGCCGCGTCCCAGGAGGCCGGATCGGGGAAGTCGGCGGCGGATGGAGGTTCGGGGTGGACCTCGACGGTGGCGATCAGCGGGCCAGACTGTGACGGCAGGCCCGCGTTGAGCGCGGAGAAGCCGCGGCCGGCCGCGCTCAGGCCGCCGTCGTTCCCCCCGCCCCCGACCACCCACACGGATCTGCGCAGCCGTTCAGAGAAGCGCGTTCATCAGACAAGGCGACGGTACCGGGAGTGGGAGGATCAGAACGTGCTCTCTCATAAAATAAAGGCTTGGAGAGGACGAACGTCCTGGTATGTATATTGTATAGCTTACTGGTATTGGGGCAAAGTACCAACCGAGCCGCGATACATGCGCCTCACACAACGTGTACAATCCACAACGCAAGGACTTTTCAGCCTCGCGGGTAACGGCGGACACCGTACTCCAGGCGCCGGAGGCAACCAACATGCTCGCGACCACCGCTTCGTACCCGCTACTCTGTCCAATATACCTGCTTCGTCTGAGCTGCAGCTGTGGCCGTCGCGACCTAAGGTAGTGATGGCCTCTTTTAGGGCATGAACAACTCAAATATCGGTTTCGAGTCAGAATTCGTGATCATCCATATGTAGCGGTCACTCTCTCTGCGCAGTTCCCCCCACACGTGTGTGCGCGTGGTTTCTTGTTTCTGACGTACCTTTTTCCTTCCTTAGCACACGATACCCGAAAAGCTTGGTGTGTTTTATCATCACAGCCCGAACTTGGCGACGAGCGACGAGCGACCGCTACAACAGCTACCTCCACCACCTCTCCCGAGGGCTCTGCTCCCCAAACAACACACCTGCACGAGGACCCCATCGCAAGATCCGTGCCCGAACCGCTTCCTGCGCCGGAAGACCGCCCCCCGCCACCTCCTCCCCCTCCGCCGGGATTGTTCCCCTCCGCCGCCAACAGCCGGTCGGGAAGCAGGCCCACGTTGAGGCGCATGCCGCCGGGTTGGAGGGGCTCTAAGGCCGTGGCGACCGCCTTCGCCGACCACTTGCCCTTAATCGTCCCGTCCGTGCCGTCCTTGCAGAACGTTCCCCGGATCTCCGCGCCCGCAGCCCAGCCGACGCGTTCCGGTGCCCCCTGGAACACTTCCCCCACCTTGCCCTCTAGGGTAAGCACAGCGGAGGCAGCGGCGGCGGCACCCGGCACCGACTTCGCGGAAGGCGAAGAAGAAGAAGTTTCCGCGAAAATTCTACCCCGGAACTCGGCAGAAGCTTGCTCCTCCGGCCAATCCACGCTCCCTTCGACGGGCGTGCCTCCTCCTCCTCCTTTTCCTCCTGCTGCTGCTGCCGGACCGTCGCCGGCGGCGGCGGCGGCGGCGGCGGCCGAGCGTCGGAAACGGAGGGTCACGACCTGGGTGCTAGCCCGCATCCAGATCCCCTCGACCCCGGCGATGGCGTTCCTGGTGAAGGTTCCGGTCATCTCGATGACGCCGTCGCCCTCGCTGCCCCAGCCGAAACCGCCGCCGGCCTTTTGGACGCGCGCGCGTTTGTTTTCGTGCAAACGCAGAAAAGAAACAACAGGCACGCATCGAGCGAAACCGACGGCGTTGGGTACGGTAAGCAAAGGACAAGAAGGGGCTGGGGACGGGGGCAGCATGCTCTTTTTCCAAGCTAAATATGAGGCTTCACTCCTGGAGCAACGATGACGTCACCTGCCTGCACCAAGGTTTCACCGACAAAAACATTAACGGGACGTTCTCCAACAAAAACAGTATTTACCCTCCCCATCGCATCTCACATTCTCTGCCGCGTCCGCCGTGCCCCCTTCACAATCCCCTCCTCCTCCCTCCTCCTCCCCCGGAACCCCCTGCTCTTCCACGTCGGGCCGGAGCCCCGCCGCGGCCAGGAGCTCCCACCGCCCGTGCCCCCTCACGGGGCCCACGGGGGCCCCGCGGGGCACGTCGACCCACTCGGTACCCCCCCTGCCGAGGCAGCACGCGTGGTTGTCCGTCCAGTCCGTGAGGGAGGATCCCTGACCCTCGTCGCAGCCCCAGAGGCCGACGAGCCCGTCCATGCCCGACACGTCCCTCCGCAGGTCCCGCAGGATCTCTCCGGGAGTCCTCGCCTGCCGCCAGTATCTGGGGGGGGGGGGGGGGGGGC